TTCGAGGTTATGAGAACAGGTTGACATGTCGAAAGTACGATGCGCAGTCAACGAATCTTGTTGAATTTACCGTTTATCCTTGTCTATCTTATTGTCACTTTCTGTCTAATTCCATGGTTACCGGAGTTTCTAATAATTACGAAGCAACAGGTATTTGCGCAATGTTAATTAGGCATATTACCTTGAGAAACATTGCTGCCGTATTTCTGATCTACTTTTTTGTAAATTTCTCAGTTTTCCTGTGCTCCTATAACAGCGCCAGACAACACCTCCAGAGGAATGACGCCAATTTTGAGTCAACCTGCATGTATAAATGATTGAAGTAAACAAAAAAAATGACCCGTTAATATCTACCGGCCGTTTCTATATAATATCTGAACGATTCCCAAGGACGTTCCTGATCCGGGTCGGGAACAGCAAGCAGACATCCAGAGCTAAACAGGTTTCCCGGGCAACAGTTAGCGCGATTCCGAGGTCACCGGGAGGGTTGAAAGCAGGATAGAGGGCAAAATTCCCGTCGTCAGCACGTGTATGATGTAGGCGGGTAGCCACCCTGATGATAGCAGCGGGGGTATACAGCGTTGCCATGCCCGCTGGCATCGCCGCTCTTTCCTTGTTATGCTTTGTTGTTTGTTTCCATAGGCATTTTCAGCTGGAAAATTTAATTTCGACAGGTTTATTTGCCCGAATGGAATGTAATTGAATGTGGAACTAGTTTACAATTTCTGTTTCATAAATGCATGTCTGTGCAAATATGGTTATAGCGTATTTGCAAGTTCTGGGGGACTGCCGATGGGATATTTCGAGGTTTTTGTCTTTATTTAAACTACCTCTTCGAAAATGTTCAGGTATTTTCATCAGATAGTGAGCGACATATTGATCGATAACGAGTTGATTACAGCAACTTTCGGGGCTAAACATTAATTGTATGTTCATTATCAACCGCACTGTGATCCTTGACCGATGTTCTTAAATCCTGTTCAGTAGTACACACGCAATTTGCCACATAAATTCTATGACGCAAACCGTCAACAATGAGTAAACATTTTATTTATACCTACTAATACATCATGTAATAAATAATATAGTTATTTGATTATGCATTATTTTGCGTACTTTCAATAGGTGAATGTAAGGGTACTATATTTAAGTTTCGTCTCTAAGTAGGTTAGTTACGGTTTTTATCGTTCATATTCGGAAAATATTG